AAAGCCCCCATTAACAGAAAAAAAAACTGGCAGTCTCAACCACTGCATATCTTACTTACTTAGGTGATCCCTCATTGTCCAAGTCTGATGGCCTTCTTGTCAGTTGGTCCGTGGGTGACTGTGGAGCGCTGTTCTTGATCTACATGTTTTTCCACAGTGAGGGCATTGCTTTCCAGATGGAAGGCCATCTCGGTCAGGGTTGGCTTGACATGCCTTCCTCTTGATACGTTTCTCCTTTTCACCCTCCATTTGTGCCTCTTCAGATTCCACAGCACTGTTGGTAACAGCTGACCTCCAGTTAGAGCATCCAGTTCTCGGTGTCTGTGCCACAGTTTCTAAGATTGGCTTTAAGCCCATCTTTAAAACTCTTTTCCTGTCCATGAACATTACATTTTCTCTTCTTGAGTTGGGAGTAGAATAACTGCTTTGGGAGACGGTGATCGGGCATTTGGACAGCGGAGTGGATGGCATAGGAATATCGTTTCAATGCTGGTGGTCTTTGCTTCTTCCAGCATGCTGACATTTGTCCACCTGTCTTATTCTGAAGATATTTGCAGGATTTTTTGGAGGCAATGCTGGTTAAATCGTTCCAGGAGTTGAGTGTGATGTCTGCAGACAGCCCACATTTTGCAGGTATAGAACAGGGTTGGGAGGACAACAGCTTTATAAACAAGCCACCTTGGTATCACTACGGATGTCCCGATCCTCATTCAGAAGAATGCTGCACTTGCAGAGCACTTGCACTTGTATTTCAGTGTCAATGTTGACTTTTGTGGAGAAGTGGCTGCCAAGGGAGCAGAAATGGTCAACTGCTGGGAGAGCACTTTGGTTTTCTTGATGTTCAATGAGACGCTGAGCATTTCGTATGTCTGCAAAGGTGTGGCTTGTAAGTCTTCTTCTGAATGCGCAGAGACTACATTGCCATCGGCATACTGGAATTCTATAACAGATGTTGTTGTGACCTATAAACACACAATATTTTTTTAAAAAAATCTAAAAATTTTGAAATTAAGATTCTTAAGATGCTGTGCTTCTGAGGAGAAAGTTGCAGGAAACATTGTTTCTGAGGGGAAAGATGAAGGAAAAGATAGGTTTCTGAGGAGAAAGTTGGAAGAAACATTGTTTCTGAGGAGGAAGATGAAGGAAAAGATAAGTTTCTGAGGAGACAGTTGGAAGAAACATTGTTTCTGGGGGGAATCATAGAATCAAAGTGTTGGAAGAGACCTCATGGGTCATCCAGTCCAACCCCCTGCCAAGAAGCAGGAATATTGCATTCAAATCACCCCTGACAGATGGCCATCCAGCCTCTGTTTAAAAGCTTCCAAAGATGAAGGAAAAGATAGGTTTCTGAGGCGAAAGTTGGAGGAAACATTGTTTTCGAGGGGAAAGATGAAGGAAAAGATAGGTTTCTGAGGAGAAAGTTGCAGGAAACATTGTTCCTGAGGGGAAAGATGAAGGAAAAGATAGGTTTCTGAGGAGAAAGTTGGAGGAAACATTGTTTTCGAGGGGAAAGATGAAGGAAAAGATAGGTTTCTGAGGAGAAAGTTGCAGGAAACATTGTTTCTGAGGGGAAAGATGAAGGAAAAGATAGGTTTCTGAGGAGAAAGTTGGAGGAAACATTGTTTCCGAGGGGAAAGATGAAGGAAAAGATAGGTTTCTGAGGCGAAAGTTGGAGAAAACATTGGAGGAAATGTTGCTTCGAGGTGGAAAAGGAGCTTGCTCCCAGTGCAGAAGCGGCAAGGCTGGGCCATGACTTCCCCACTCCACATGGGGCACGGGAGCGGGGGCTTCCAGGCTCTCCTGGCCTTATTTATTATTTATTTAAAACATTTATATTCTGCCCTTCTCACCCCATCCATGTTCAACATCTACACAAATGACCAGCCACTGCCAGAAGGGACAGAGAGTTTCATCTATGCTGATGATCGTGCCATCAACGCTCAAGCAGGGAGCTTTGAGATGGTTGAACAGAAGCTCTCCGAAGCTCTAGGTGCTCTTACTGCCTATTACAGGGAAAACCAACTGATCCCTAATCAATCTAAAACACAGACATGTGCCTTTCACCTTAAGAACAGACAAGCATCCCGAGCTCTGAGGATTACCTGGGAAGGAATCCCACTGGAGCATTGCAGCGCACCCAAATACCTGGGAGTCACTCTGGACCGTGCTCTGACCTACAAGAAGCACTGCCTGAATATCAAGCAAAAAGTGGGTGCTAGAAACAATATTATACGAAAGCTGACTGGCACAACCTGGGGGTCACAACCAGACACAGTGAAGACATCTGCTCTTGCACTTTGCTACTTTGCTGCTGAGTATGCATGCCAGTGTGGAACACATCTCACCACACTAAAACAGTGGATGTGGCTCTTAATGAGACATGCCGCATTATCACGGGGTGTCTGCGCCCTACACCACTGGAAAAATTACACTGTCTAGCTGGTATTGCACCACCTGACATCCGCCGGGAAGTAGCAGCCAATAGTGAAAGGACCAAGGCAGAGACATCTCCAGCTCATCCCCTGTTTGGGTATCAGCCAGCACGTCAACGACTTAAATCAAGAAATAGTTTTCTTAGATCTACAGAGACACTCGCTGGAACACCTCAGCAAGCGAGAGTCCAAAAGTGGCAGGCTCAAACCCAGAACCTCAACCAATGGCTGATACCAAATGAGAGACTCCCCCTGGGCACACAGAAGACTGGGCGACTTGGAAGGCGCTGAACAGACTGGCTCTGGCACCACGAGATGCAGAGCCAACCTCCAGAAATGGGGCCACAAAGTGGAATCCACGACATGCGAGTGCGGAGAAGAGCAAACCACTGACCACCTGCTGCAATGCAACCTGAGCCCTGCCACATGCACAATGGAGGACCTTCTTGCGGCAACACCAGAGGCACTCCAAGGGGCCAGATACTGGTCAAAGGACATTTAATCAACTACCAAGTTTGCAAAATTTGTGTTTTTTTATCTGTTTGTTTGTTTTGTTCTGTTAGAAATGTAATACAATGTTCTGGTTGCGGATGACACGACAAATAAATAAATACCCAGGCAGCCCCCGGTGGTGCAGTGGGTTAAACCCCTGTGCCGGCAGGACTGAAGACCAACAGGCCGCAGGTTCGAATCCGGGGAGAGGCGGATGAGCTCCCTCTATCAGCTCCAGCTCCTCATGCGGGGACATGAGAGAAGCCTCCCACAAGGATGATAAAAACATCAAATCATCCGGGCGTCCCCTGGGCAACGTCCTTGCAGACGGCCAATTCTCTCACACCAGAAGCGACTTGCTCCTGACACGAGAAAAAAAAAGGAGACTTAGGGCGGAGCACAGCATATACACGGTAAACATTCAATGCTGGGACATGAATTCATTATATGAATACATAAACATCACAAATATTTGTATCAATATTAAAATACACTGGGTTGTTGTAGGTTTTTCCGGGCTATATGGCCATGTTCTGGAGGCAATTTTTCTCCTGAAGTTTCGCCTGCATCTATGGCAAGCATCCTCAGAGGTAGTGAGGTCTGTTGGAAATAGGAAAATGGGTTTATATATTAGGCTTGGGCAATCCATGGTTCTAAAGTAGTTACAAAACTAAAGTTCTGGTGATGAAAATTTCAAAACTCTAACAAAATCCCAAAATTTCATTATAAATGGCAGTTCCTAATTGGTTCTGTCATAAAAAATCGCCAATAATGAAATAATAATTACATTTTGAAAGTTTTGTTAGAGTTCTGAAATTTTCACCACCAGAACTTTAGTTTTGTAAGTACTTTAGAACCATTTAGAACCATGGATTGCCCAAGCCTAGTATATATCTGTGGAATGACCAGGGTAATGTTTCAGCTGATCACCTTGAATCATAGAATCATAGAATCAAAGAGTTGGAAGAGACCTCATGGGCCACCCAGTCCAACCCCCTGCCAAGAAGCAGGAATATTGCATTGAAATCACCCCTGACAGATGGTCATCCAGCCTCTGTTTAAAAGCTACCAAAGAAGGAGCCTCCACCACACTCCGGGGCAGAGAGTTCCACTGCTGAACGGCTCTCACAGTCAGGATGTTCTTCCTCATGTTCAGATGGAATCTCCTCTCTTGTAGTTTGAAGCCATTGTTCCGCGTCCTAGTCTCCAAGGAAGCAGAAAACAAGCTTGCTCCCTCCTCCCTGTGGCTTCCTCTCACATATTTATACATGGCTATCATATCTCCTCTCAGCCTTCTCTTCTTCAGGCTAAACATGCCCAGCTCTCTAAGCCGCTCCTCATAGGGCTTGTTCTCCAGACCCTTGATCATTTTAGTCGCCCTCCTCTGGACACATTCCAGCTTGTCAATATCTCTCTTGAATTGTGGTGCCCAGAATTGGACACAATATTCCAGGTGTGGTCTAACCAGAGCAGAATAGAGGGGTAGCATGACTTCCCTAGATCTAGACACTATGCTCCTATTGATGCAGGCCAAAATCCCATTGGCTTTTTTTGCCGCCACATTGATTTGCATTCAATGGCCTGGAAGCGCCTGGGGGGAATCTCTTGTTGAGAGTGAATTGATGTGCCTGATTGTTTACTCTCTGTTGTTGAAATACACTGCTTAAAATCGTCTTGTCTGGCTTCCCCAAGATGACGCCCTTCCCCCCCCTCCCTTCCCCGTTCATTGCGGCAAACCTGAGCCGCATTGCTGACAACAAGGCGCGAATGTAGGCCAGCGTGGCCACGCCTCCTTCCTCTGCCTCAGACACGGGTTTTGAGGCGGAGCTGAGGAACCGTCCAATCGCTCCGCTCGTCCAAAAGAGAGGCGGGGCCGGTTGCTCTTGTCAACACCACCCTCATCCCTTTTTTATTCCGGCTCGCCCAATCACAATTCGCGCATCCTTCCTGTTTTGAATATTAATCAGGCTTTAGCCAATGGGAAGCTCGATGGAGCGTTGCCTCACGGCCGGGGCGAAGCGTCTATCCGGGGAAGCGCCGTGCTGCATACGCATGAGGTGGGCGGGGCCCCGCGGGCGGGTATATAAGGCGCCGCACGGGGGCGCTCCTGCGCAGTTCGCATTTGGCTGTTGAAGAGCGTGTGTAGCTTTCTGTAGGAGACAAGAGGAGAAGGACACATCACTCGGTAAGAGATTTTAAAAGGAACGTGAATATATTTAAATATTCAAAAGCATTCCGAGTGCAGGAATGTTCAACGGGGGGAGCCGAGTGGGGATTTGCTCGAGGGGAATTGCGCGGAAGAGCTTGTTTTGGTCGACGGAGGGGAATAAAATGGCGGCCGGCCGGCTTTTGGGAGGAGGCGCAAAATGGCGCGAGGAAGTGCGCGAGGCGGCGTTGCGCCTTCGAGGAGGGAGAGAGCGGAGGTGCGCCCCCTACTGGGCAGAGGCCACGCTGCGCGCATGCGCAGATAAGATTCTGTCGCTTTCAGACAGCCCTAGGCCAAATTGGGCCCTCCAGGTGTTTTGGATTTCAACTCCCATTATTCCTAACAGCCACAGACAGGCTTGTAGCGAGGGGGTGGTTTTAGGGGTTCAACCCCCCCCGAAATGTTTCAGATTTTTTTTTAAAAAAAACTGGTTTACTCATGAATTTTAACTGGTTAACCAAATCCCCATGCTACGTCTATGACAGGGGTAGGGAACCTTTGGCCCTCCAGCTGTGGTGGACTTCAACTCCCACAATTCCTTGAGGCTCGGCATTGGGCCAAGGTAAGCCTTTGGGGCGAATGCCGAGCCTCAAGGAATTGTGGGAGTTGAAGTCCACCACAGCTGGAGGGCCAAAGGTTCCCTACCCCTGGTCTATGAGATGCAAAAAATTAAGAGTCCCTCCAGAACTGCAAGCAATATCTCAAGCAAATATTGACAATTTATTCACACTGTCATTACTTGCAGCAATAGCCGATGTAGTGAAGCAACCAAGTTGGAGGGGGGTGTTGAATGCTCTCATTAAGGAGGCCAGACTTGGTGGAGGTGGTTGACAGGGGTGGAGCTGCAGGCTATTGAAGGCTGCTCTGCCCCCTGCTGTGCTCTTTGCTTCAGCGTGAGCTAGGAGGCAGGTTTCAACCCTCCCCCTGCGAAATTTTCACCTCCCAAATCCCCCCCCCCCAAATTGTCAACCCTCCCCAAAAAGTTTTTCTGGCTACGGCCCTGGCCACAGACCCCTTCCTTTTCCTGAGGCTGTTAGGAATGGTGGGAGTTGAAGTCCAAAACAATTGGAGGGAGGGCTGAATTTGGCCCAAGGAGTTGGGAGCCCCCACCCCCCCCCTTGCACCAAAAGCTGCTCTGGCCAGAGCAAATTATTATTATTATTATTATTATTATTAAACTTTATTTGTACCCCGCTAGCATCTCCCGAAGGACTCGATGTGGCTTACAAAGGCCAAGGCCTCAATACACAACATGACAATACAAAACCCAAGACAAATTAAAAACAATCAAAGCAATAAACAATACACTAGGACACAATGAAACTGGGCCTGGCCAGAGTAATGGGTACAGGATTAAAAGTGCTGATGTGACAGGTGGGATATAAGGCTTATAGGGCAAGTGCAGTGTGCAGCGTGCGGCAATCTTAGTTTTAATAAAGTGCTTCTGGGACTTGGTATTGGAGATTTCCTATTCTGGGAAGGCACATCGGAACAGCCAGGTCTTCAAGTTCTTTCTATAGACTGCCAGGGTAGGGGCCTGTCTAAGATCTTTGGGGAGGGTGTTCCAGAGTCGGGGGGCCACCACAGAAAAGGCCCTGTCTCGTGTCCCCATCAACCGCGCTTGCGACGCAGGCAGGATCACGAGCAGGGCCTCTCCAGATGACTGAAGTGAACGCGTGGGTTCGTAGACGGAGATGCGGTCATGCAGGTAGGCTGGTCCCAAACCGTTCAGGGCTTTGTAGGTAAGCACCTGCACCTTAAATTGGGCTCGGAAAATAAACGGCAGCCAGTGGAGCTCCTTAAACAGGAGGGTTGACCTCTCTCTGTAAGGGGCCCCAGTTAACATCCTGGCCGCTGCTCGTTGGACCAGTTGCAAAGACAGAGAGGGGAGCAGAAGACATTTACATCTTGTCTTCTCTCTTTACTAATAATATAATATAGTATATTGTATGTGCATATAATATTTATTATATTGTAATACAATACAATACTAGTAATAATAATACGGCCCCCCCAGTGGCGCAGTGGGTTAAAGCACTGAGCTGCTGAGCTTGTTGACCAAAAGGTTGCAGGTTTGATTCCAGGGAGCAGCATGAGCTTCTGCTGTCAGCCCTAGCTTCTGCCAACCTAGCAGTTCAAAAACATGCAAATGTGAGTAGATCAATAGGTACCGCTCCGGCGGGAAGGTAATGGTGCTCCATGTGGTCATGCTGGCCACATGACCTTGGAGGTGTATGGACAACGCTGGCTCTTCGGCTTAGAAATGGAGATGAGCACCACACCCCAGAGTCAGACATGACTGGACTTAATGTCAGGGAACAACCTTTACCTTTATAATAATGCAATATTATAATTATATATTTACATCACATGTAATATTACTAATAATATTACAATATAATGGTATAGTGCAATATAGTAATATATAATACTGATATTGTACTATGCCGATAATATAATATATTGTATGGAAATATATATTATAAGCTACTCTGAGTCCCCTTTGGGGTGAGAGGGGTGGCATATAAATGCCGTAAATTAAAACATTCTGCAATTTCTTCTTCTGGCCCGCAGGAGGAGAAATGGCATCGGACGAAGGGAAGCTCTTTGTCGGCGGGCTCAGTTTCGACACCAATGAACAGTCCCTGGAGCAGGTCTTCTCCAAATATGGACAGATCTCTGAAGGTAACAACCATGTATCTGCCCTCTGTAACATTTTGGGAATCCTTTGCCCAATTAATTAGGAAGAGGGATTGACCCGCTCTCCTCCCTTCCTTCCAGTGGTTGTGGTCAAAGACAGAGAAACGCAGAGGTCCCGAGGGTTTGGATTTGTGACCTTTGAAAACATTGACGACGCGAAAGATGCTATGATGGCCATGAATGGGAAGGTGAGTGGCCGCCATATTGGGGCAGCGCAGTGTTTTTCAATCTGGGCGGGGGGGTGGGGGTGCGAAGGTATCAGGGATCACCAGAGGCAGTAAGTAACCACAATTTTCTGTATTGTCGAAGGCTTTCATAGCCGGGAATCACTGGGTTTTTTGGCTGTAAGGCCATGTTCTCTAGAAGCACTGTTTTCTGTTTGTCATGGAGGTTTGGTATAGGAAGTTTGATCCAGTTCTATCATTGGTGGGGTTCAGATTGTAGGTGAACCAGAAATCCCAACAACTAAAACTCCCAAATGTTAAGGTCTATTTTCCCCAAAGTCCACCAGTGTTCACATTTGGGAATATTGGGTATTCATGCCATGTTTGGTCCAGATCCATCATTGTTTGAGTCCACAGTGCTCTCTGGATGTAAGTGAACTACAACTTCAAAAGTCAGTCAATGAGCATCAAACCCTTCTAGTATTTTCTGTTGGTCATGGGAGTTTTGTGTAACAAGTTTGGTTCAACTTAATCATTGGTGAAGTTCAGAATGCTCTTGGATTCTAAGTGAACTATAAATCCCAGCAACCAGAACTCCCAAATGACAAAATCAATCCCCCCAACCCCACCAATATTCAAATTTATTTATTTCCAGTATTTGTATACCGTTTTTCTCACCCCTAGGAGTACTCAAAGTGGTTTACACATAAGGAAAGGCAAAATTCAATGCCAATACAATCAATTACAGTTATACACTACAAGTAGACGTAAATCAAATCAAATTAAAACAATACATCCACAAGCATTAAAACAATAAAACAGTCTTGTCCGTCAAATCACCGTTCCAGTCATTGTCCTTCTAAAATGCTGCATACATTTACGTCTACTGCCTGAAGGCCTGGTCCCAAAACCATGATTTTAATTTTTTCCTAAAAGCCAGGAGGGAGGTAGCAGATCTTACCTCATTTGGGAGTGTGTTCCATAGGTGCAGAATGTATTTTCATACCCAGTACATTTGGTTATTCATAACAGTAGCAAAATTAAAGTTACGAAGTATTAACGAAAATAATATTAAGGTTGGGGGGTCACCAGAACATGAGGAACGGGAAGCTGGTGTAGTAAATAGCAGAAGGAGAAGCTCACACCATGAGAGCTGGTGAATGACTTGATTGTTGTCAATCAGTCTTGGATTCAGCTGTGGCCATTGACCCTCTGTTCTCCTCTCTTTCCCATCAGTCTGTGGATGGGCGCCAGATCCGAGTGGACCAAGCGGGGAAGTCCTCGGACAACCGCTCCCGTGGCTACAGAGGGGGATCAGCCGGAGGACGGGGCTTCTTCCGCGGAGGCCGCAGCCGAGGGCGGGGCTTCTCCAGAGGTGAGGTGGGGTGGGCTCCCACGTTCCTCTAGTATTGGTTCCCCTCCTTGGGAATGGGCCCTTACTCACCCTTTGGTTTGGCCCTCCCTCTCTCCCTTCCAGGTGGTGGCGGAGGAGACCGAGGCTATGGTGGGGGCGGCAGCAGCCGGTTTGAGTCCAGAAGTGGGGGATACAGTGGCTCCAGAGACTACTATGGCAGCAGGTGGGTACAGGGCCACTTTCTGCGTTTCTACAGGAGGGGTATTTTGATTTGAAAGGATTTCTGTAGGAGCTATGCTGGAGCTAATACTCTTGAAGGCAGGAGCAGAATTCAAAACAATCTTTACAGATGAGAGAGATGATTGGCCAAAACTAACACAATGAAGTCCAACGGGACAAATACAAGATACTCTGCTTAGGCAAAGATACAGAATGGGGGGTGATGCCTGGCTCGACAGCAGGATGTGGGATAAAAGATCTTAGAGTCCTCATGGGGAGGAAGGTGAACGTGAGTCAACAATGCAATAACTACAAAGCCAATGGGATTTTGGCCTGCATAAGTAGGAGCCTAGTGTCTAGATCAGGGGTCCTCAAACTAAGGCCCGGGGGCCGAATACGGCCCTCCAAGGTCATTTACCTGGCCCTCACTCCTAAGTCTGAAACGAATTGAAAGCACACAACAACAATCCTATCTCATCATCCAAAAGCAGGTCAACACTTCCCATTGAAATACTAATATGTTGACATCTGTTAACATTGTTCTTCATTTTAATTGTATTGTTTTCAAGTGTTTTTACACTACAAATAAGATATGTGCAGTGTGCATAGGAATTCATTCATTTTTTTTTTCAAATTATAATCCAGCCCTCCAACAGTTCGAGGCACTGTGACCTGGCCCTCTGTTTAAAAAGTTTGAGGACCCCTGGTCTAGATCCAGGGAAGTCATGCTACCCCTCTATTTTTCCTTGGTCAGACCACACCTATTACAATGCAGCCTGAGACTGCCACATACACAATGTATGGCAACACCAGACACCTTCAGTGGCCAGCTACTGCTCATAGGACATTTAATAGAATGCCAAGTTTTTAAACTTTGGGTTTTCTCAAATACATTGGTTCACTCCTGATACAATAAATAAATATAGACCACACCTGGAATCACACTCTGTCCAATTCTGGGAACCGTAATTGAAGGGAGATATTGACTCTAAGCTGAAAGGGGTCCAGAAGAGGGCAACTGAAAGGATCAAGGGTCTGGAGAGCAAGCCCTATGAGGAACGGCTTCAAGAGCTGGGCCTGTTCAGCCTGCAGAAGAGAAGTCTGATAGGAAACACGAGGAGGGCCATGGATCTAATAGCAAAAATTAGCATAAAATCTTAATTTTTTTTTTAAAAAGTACTTTCTGCAGTTGACTATAAGCATTTCTTTCAAAATACTCAAAGAATGGTTTTAATGAAGCATTAAAATTGAGTTTCTTGCCAGCAGGGATCTTTTGGTCAGCAGTCGTGCCGGCAGAAGGGTCCTCAAACTAAGGCCTGGGGGCCGTATACGGCCCTCCGAGGTCATTTACCCGGCCCTCGCTCAGGGTCAACCTAAGTCTAAAACAACTTGACAGCACACAACAACAATCAGCCAAAAGCAGGCCCACACTTCTCATTGAAATACTAATAAGTTTATATTTGTTAAATTTGTTCTTAATTTTAATTATTGTATTGTTTTTAAGTTTTTTTATACTACAGATAAGATATGTGCAGTGTGCATAGGAATTCATTCATGTGTTTTTCAAATTATAATCTGACCCTCCCAACAGTTTGAGGGACTGTGACCTGGCCCTCAGTTTAAAAATGTTTGAGGACCCCTGGTTTAACCCATTGCACCAGATGAGATATGAGCTACATCAATTAGAGATAGATTAGAGATAGGGATAGATATGTTAGATATAATACTAATATTGTGCTATGCTAATAAGATATTATATGTACAAAATAACTTGTAAGCTGCTCTGAGTCCCCTTCAGGTGAGAAGGGCAGATATCAATGTCATAAATGAATAAGATAGGTATGATATGACAGAGATAGCGATTTTAGAGATAGATTTTGAGAAATATATATATTTCATGCAGTAATTGTATCCAAGGACATGAAACACACACTTAGCATCCCTTCCTACAAACACCTGAGGGGAAATTGACTTTTGTTGCATATTTATTTATTATTAATTTACTGTAATTGTATACTGCCTTTCTCAGCCAATTGGCGACTCAAGGTGGTTTCCAACGAATCAGTATACATAAAACATTATAGATAAAAAAACATTAAACCGTATAAGACATCACAAAAGCAACATCATCAGCGTCTCATTATTCTCAAGTATTGTCCAATTCCATTGTCCGGTCATTCGATTTCCTATATTAGCTACTCTGTATTTGTAAACGCTTGCTCGAATAGCCACGTTTTAAATTGCCTCCGAAACATCAAGAGGGAGGGAGCAGATCTGATCTCCCTAGGGAGGGCATTCCATAGCCAAGGGGCCACCACTGAGAAGGCCCTGTCTCTTGTCCCCGCCAAACGTGCTTGTGACGAAGGCGGGACCGAGAGCAGGGCCTCCCCAGATGATCTTAAAGTCCTCAGTGGTTCGTAAGGGGAGATACGTTCATTCTAAAAGTTTGCCCCATGCTACCATTTGGTCACCACAGTCCCATGTCCATGTGTCAGCGTCAGGCCGACCACACAGGGAATGTCCTAACTGTTTGACTTAATGTGATGACAGCTAGCAAGATGTGGAAGGCTTTTTGCACGCAGAATACTATTTGAATTGCAGGTCATGCCAACCCAACCTTGCCCTTTTTTTCTTTCTTTCTGTATCCCCTCTGCAGTAGGAGTCAAGGCAGCTACAATGACAGGCCTTCCGGTGGCTCCTACAGAGACAGCTACGACAGTTACGGTAAGTCTTTGATCCTCGTGAGGGAAAAGGAGGAGGAGAACACTGACGCTGTTTTGCGATCTTGCCATAATAAAAGCTCCTTGGAAGCCTGTTTGGTGCTGGCCACTTCTCCTTGCCTATAGGAAGGCCCTAAGCCTTTAATGCAGGCCTTAAGTCCATCTTTAATGCATGTGTTGTTGTGCTACTAGCCGGCTCTTGCAGCAAGGAAAAGCCCATGCTGGAAGTAATCTTTTACAAAGTCCAGGAGCAAAACTTTTGAATCTTGGGTGGGGAGAAGAGGTTTAGCCAGGCCGTAGCCCTTTCTTTAGGTGCTTGTCAAAGAAGCAGGGGAGGAGAAATAAAATGGCTGGGACTTGTGTCTGTGCTGCTTCGGTTCCTTTTACAACTGTGCCTGCTTCTTGTCCTCAGCTGCACACAACGAGTAAAAACACTTCCTGGCTCGCTCAAGAATCGTCCTTCCAATGGCTGTATTTATAAAGATTTTGGGAGCTTCGCTGAAAACAAAACAAACAAAAAACACATGTTTCTTGTGTAGTCATCTCCTTTGTATTCTCACTTTTTTGTAGTAAAAAGTCGCAGTTCTGACCTTGTTTTAAAACAAAAGACACAGCCTGACAGCTTCTCAGTATGTAAATGGTCTGTTCAGACGCAGATGAAAGTTGTGGGTCGTTCCCCCCTCCCCCCGAAGTGTTTAAATCTTTTTAAAGCACTTAAGGTTTTTAGTTGATTTGTGAGCTCAGTGTTGGGGTTTCCCAGAAGGTTGTAAGGCCCTGTTTTTTTTCTGTTTTGAGTAAGAAAAGGAGCGAAATTCCTTCCTCCGTAGAAGCTGAGCAAGCTGTGAACTCGGTTTTTTCTGTTAGCGCTTCGTTTTGTAACCTGACCTTTAGTGTAGCAAGGTAGGCCTTAACAGCCTGGATTTTTGATTCTGAAAGGCAAACCCACCTTGGTATATCTAAAGAGATCCTTGCTTTGTATGTTTGACTTGCATAAAAGAGACTTTGGACTTGTATGTGTCTTTACCGACTGAACCCAGAGAAAAAACTGCAAATATTTAACCGTGCAAAGAGGTTCATGGAGAGAGAAAACAAAAACAATATGATGTTTGTTTCTATTGTCCTTTTTTTTTTTTTAACTTGGAAAGAAAGTATGCCTAATTCAATTGATGTTGTAATTTTGAAGTGGTGCAAACAGGATTTCTTGTAAGCTTTCCTTTGGCTTCACGAAGCCTATTAAAAGTCCATCTGAAAACAAATACCTTCTGCGCTTGAAATCTTAACTCTTGCTGCACAACACAAGTCCTGTAGCTGATCATGGAAGACAGAAGAGTGTAGCTAAGACAGCACAGTGAGCGAGAGAAAAAAGAGAGGGAAGGGAATTAGTTCAACGACAGGCTTTTAATGCAGGCTTTGCACCTTATAGAATCAAAGAAGTAACTGTAGAGGCCTGCAAATTATGATAATGGAAGACAGAAGAGTGTAGCTAAGACAGCACAGCAAGCAAGCGGGGAATTAGTCCAGCTTTTAATGCAGGTCTTCTAGAATTAAGTATCTAGAGTCCTGTAGATCAGTGGTTCTCAATCAGTAGGTCCCCAGATGTTTTGGCCTTCAACAGCAGATTTCTGGGAGTTATAGGTCAAAACACCTGAGGACCCACAGGTTGAGAACCACTGCTATAATGATGATCATGAAAGACAGAAGAGTGTAGCTAAGACAGCACAGTGAGCGAGCAGGGAAGTAGTCCAACGACAGGCTTTTAGTGCATCTTACAGACTCAAATAATTAATTATAATGTTAATTAGCTATAGAGTTTGACACATTGAGAGGGTGATGGGAGCAAGAGTCTCAAAGGGACGTCGTAAATGCCCTTGCCCTTAATGGGATCAGTTGGAAGTTTGGCTGGAATTGATCCAACCTTTTGTAAATAACGCAATGGACTTGCTCCTGTTAAATGCACCCTCCTTCTTGACTCAGGACAGACAGTGTAATCATAAATAACTAGACCATGTTTAGCATCTAGTGAAGTGAGGACTTAGCTGACACTTTGCCTAATGGAAAGCCAGCCAGCCAAACATGGAGTCAGATAGACAGCCTCTTGTTAAGCCAGATCACTGTGTCCTAACATTAGCTAGCTTTGTCGTGTTGCCTTCTTAAGTTCTGAGAATTCTCTGCTAGCGTATGGAAAACGGGAGAGAGCCTTGGCGAAAAAAGAAGTGTTGTGCCTCCAACAGAGAGAGAAAACCCTCTGAGACGAAAGCTGCTCTCTTGGCTAGTTCATATGTGGGGATAGTCCTGTAATTCGAGGTAACTCTTTTCCTCATGTCCGCATCCTCCTTCCTCCTGTCGAGAGCTCGTGGTCCTTTTTTTAAAATGTTTTCGGAAACTGAATGTTAAGCCAAAAAAAAAAAAAATGGCCAGATTTTTATTTTTTTCTGTAACTTCCTGTATTGAGCCTGGGTTTTTTGTGGTCTAAATTTTGAACTGGGGTTGGAAAATATGGGGGTGTTTGTTGTGCAGCCATTTCTTTGCCAATAGAGTTAGAGGAAAGATGGGCAGCTGAATTCTTCTCCCCCCAATAATAATAATTATGGATTCTCTGAAGAGATGCTCCTTCTTAAGATTTTAAGTCATGTTAACCATAATGCTCTTTGCCACCGTGGTTGCCTTTTTCACGTTTCCCCTGTAGCCCACGCTGTTCCGAAGCAATCATTCTCCACAGCGACTGACCGCTTTTTTGGCGGGACCAGGTGCATTTGGCCGCTCCAAATTCAGTCTCGGAACAGATTTGACCCGCGTTGGGCTTCTTTTGAGATTCGGTTTAGGTCATGGAAGCCCTCTCTAGAAAATCACTTCGTTTTTGTGTGTGTGCAGTGGGAGGGTGGGATAGCATAAAGAGAACACCTCCTGTTTGGATATATCTATTTGTAACATGGATTTGTCTTGGCAGGTTGAAGCAAACAACGGCTGAAAACGAGGTGGATTTTGAGTCCAAATATGGGGCCCGTGAGCTGCAATCAGTAGTGCAAGCAAGGTACGGTTCCTGAACTAATTGCGTTTTGGCAGCTAAATTAAAAAAAATACTGTTCAGTATCCCGTTTTGCACTCTCAAAATGTAGTACATCTTTATAGTCTGACTGCATCTCACTAACCATCTTCAATCTTATTTCAGCCGCTCGGAAGAGGAAGCAGGGCAGGACGGGATGCGCCGCAGAAGACAAAGTGCTGAGGATTCTGTTTTATCAGTGGAAAAAAAAAACCATGTCCACAAAGTCAATAAACCAATATGGGGCTATCTAAACATGCTTGGCCGGTGTATAACACCCCGTGGGGAAGGTGTCGAAAGATTCGTCCAAGGGTGTCTTTTCCTTGCCTAAATCGCAGCTGGAGCAGGTGTACCGTTTCAGTAGTATGGTCTCTAGAATTGTCCTTCGAGTAGTATTACAGGGACTTCAGCTCATTTTGAAAACAATTACAGGGGTCCTCAAACTAAGGCCCAAGATCATTTACCCGGCCCTCGCTCAGGGTCAAACTAAGTCTAAAATGACTTGAAAGGAAACAACAACAACAATCCTATCTCATCAGCCAAAAGCAGGCCCACACTTCCCATTGAAATACTAATAAGTTTATATTTGTTAAAATGTTCTTCATTTCAATTATTGTATTGTTTTTAAGTGGTTTTTTGCACTACAAATAAGATATGCTCAGTGTGCATAGGAATTCTTTTTTTTCCCCTTCAAATTATAATCCGGCCCTCCAACAGTTTGAGGGACTGTGACCTGGCCCTCTGTTTAAAAGGTTTGAAGACCCCTGGCCAATTGAGTATGTCCCTTCCATTATTCTCTACTAGTTGTGAGGAAGAGGTATTATTAGAATCAGAGTTGAAAGAGAGACCCCAAAGGCCATCCAGTCCAACCACCTCCTGCCATCAAGCAGGAAAAGCACAGTCAAAGCCCTTCCAACAAGATGGCCATCCAGACTCTAGTAGTAGTAGTAGTAGTAGTAATAATACAGTTGGACAAAACCATATGGTCCATCCAGTCCAACCCTTTGCGGCCTATGCAGGAGAAACACAGTCAAAGCACCCCTGACAGATGGCCATCTAGCCTCTGTAGTAGTGGTGGTAATAATAATAATAATAATAATAATAATAATAATAATAATAATAATAATAATAATAGAGTTGAAAGAGAGACCCCAAAGTGATGGTAGTAATAATAATAATAGAGTTGAGAGACCCCAAAGGCCATCTAGTCTAACCACCTGCCGACAAGCAGAAAAGCACAATCAAAGCCCTCCCAACAAATGGCCATCCAGCCTCTGCAGTAATAATAATAGAGTTGGACGAAACCATATGGTCCATCTAGTCCAACCCTCTGCAGCCCGTGCAGGAGAAGCACAGTCAAAGCACTCCTGACACATGGCCCTCCAGCCGTTGTTTAAAAGCCTCCAAGGAAAGAGCCTCTACCATACCCTTGAGGCAGAGAGTTCCACTGCTGAACAGCTGTGCTTACAGTCAGGAAGTTCTTCCTAATGTTCAGGTGGAATCTCGGTGTAATTTGAACCCATTGCTCCGAGCCGTAGAAAATTACTTCTACGTAGGGAGTCAGGTGTGGCCTAAATTGGCATGTTCCAAAGATGTGCATGAGATGGAGGTCATGACACCTGGTGTGGTTACCACTAACCCCCTTGATTGGGGAACATCAGGTTAGGGAAGATCGTAAGGAATCCCACAAACTTTGTGAGAATCTAGGCTGCATTGCAATGTGACCTCTGCTCAGTTACACTATCAGTGTGATACATGGAGTTGTCCTTAGGGGGGGGGGGGGATCATGCTGAGGTTTAAGGATACAGAAGAGGGCTATCTTGTGTGATTGCGTGACCAACTAAAGGTCCCATATAGTGGGTGCTGGGGAAACCATAAAATTATGTGTATATGGCTTTTGCCCTGCTGGGAAACAGGCACACTTGCCACAGTTTTGACTAGAGGATTTTAACGTCAAGTGATTTTAATGCTTTTATTTATATGTGTATGGTTTAGTATGTTTTGGCTTTGAATGTTTGCCATTTATATGTCTCTTTGGGACGAGAAGGGCGGAATATAAATGCTTTAAATAAATAAATAATATTGAGAGGGTTCTACTCCCCCGGTGGAACAGCAGGTTAAACCTCTGAGCTGCTGAACTTGCTGGCCAAAAGGTTGGTTTGAATCCAGGGAGCGGGATGAGCTCTCACTGTTAGGCCCAGCTTCTGCCAAGCTAGCAGTTCTAAAACATGCCAATGTGAGTACATCAATAGGTACCACTTCTGTAGGAAGGTAGAGGCGCTCCATGCAGTCATGCCAGCCACATGACTTTGGAGGTGACTACGGACAGTGCCGGTTCTTTGGATTAGGAATGGAGATGAGCACCAGCCTGTAGAGTCAGACACTACTAGACTTAATGCCAGGGAAACGTTTAAAGTCCCCAAGTGGCAACGTCCCTACCAATGGGAGGGGCTAGAAGCTGTGGCTGATGGGTTCCCTTGTCTTTGTGGTAATGGACACGTGGCTCGAGAGCAGTACGTATGAAAAAGATCTTTGGGTCCTCGTGGACAACAAGTTAAACATGAGCCAACAATGTGATGCGACGGTAAAAAAAGCCAATGGGATTTTGGCCTGCATCAATAGCATAGTGTCTAGATCCAGGGAAGTCATACTACCCCTCTATTCTGCCTTGGTTAGACCACACCTGGAATATTGTGTCCAATTCTGGGCCCCACAATTGAAGAGAGATATTGACAAGCTGGAATGTGTCCAGAGGAGGGCGAATAAAATGATCAAGGGTCGAGAACAATCCTATGAGGAGTGGCTTAAAGAGCTGGGCATGTTTAGCCTGAAGACGAGAAGGCTGAGTGGAGACATGATAGCCATGTATAAATATGTGAGAGGAAGTCACAGGGAGGAGGGAGCAAGCTTGTTTTCTGCTTCTCTGGAGACTAGGATGCGGAACAATGGCTTCAAACTACAAGAAAGGAGATTAAATCTGAACATGAGGAAGAACTTCCTGACTGTCAGAACCGTTAAGCAGTGGAACTCTCTGCCCTGGAGTGTGGTGGAGGCTCCTTCTTTGGAGGTTTTTAAACAGGCTGGATGGCCATCTGTCGGGGGTGCTTTGAATGCAGTTTTCCTGCTTCTTGACAGGGTTGGACTGGATGGCCCATGAGGTCTCTTCCAGCTCTATGATTCTATGATTCAGGTTCAAGCCCAAACTTTTAAGGC